GTATTAAAACACAAAAATTCTTTATTAAATATATTATATAAATTTTATTACTGATAAGATATTAAAATATATGTGACATACAACTTTTACTAAAATTGATTAAATTAATTGAACTAAAAATTCCATCGATATTGTTTTAACTAAAAATTTTAATGTTTGCTTATATTAATTAAAAATCTACACGAAAGTCCTTTGTAAGGGAAATTCTCCGAGAACCTTATAATTAGTGACTTTGCAAATCATTTCTTCAATGTTAAACTGCATAGCCATAAAAATAAAGAACTTATATGAAGAAACGTTAATATATTTCATAAAAGTAAAAGAAAAACTCCATCCATCAATAAAAAACTTACCACAAGTCTGTTTCGAGAGAAAGTCCAAGCTGATTCCTAAAAAAGAGAAGAAAGAAAAAATGGTTAATACCGTTCTAAAAGAAAGAATTAACAACCCACTCATAAAAACTTACCACAAGTCCGTTTCGAGAAAAAGTCCAAGCCGATTCCTAAAAAAAAGAAGAAAAAACGGTTAGTACTATTTTAAAAGAAAGAATTAACACACCCATAAAAAACTTACCACAAGTCTATTTTGAGAAAAAGTCCTAAAAAAAAGAAGAAAAAACGGTTATTACCGTTCCAAAAGAAAGAATTAACACACCCATAATAATCTTACCACAAATCCGTTTCAAAAGAAAGTTCAAGCCGATTCCTAAAAAAAAGAAGAAAGAAAAAATGGTCAGTATCATTCTAAAAGAAAGAACTAACACGCCCACCTATGAAAAACTTACCCTAAGTCTGTGTTGAGAAAAAGTCCAAACTGATTCCTAAAAAAAAGAAAGAAAAGGACGGTTAGTACCATTCTATAAGAAATTAATCTTACTCATAAAAGCTTACCTCCACTTGAAGAAAAAGTGAGAAAGTCAAAAAAATTCTAGCGGCAATAATAATTTATAATATAAAAAAATTGTTAAAAATAAAGATCTATTTTAATTTTAATATCTATTTTTAATACTGTTAGATTGTCGATCTGTTTACTTATCAAAAACTTTCAAATCTAAATATCTCAAAATCACGTTTATTAGAGTTTCCTCCCTTTCTATTGCAAAGGCCCCAAATATTTATTAGTAAGATCTAAAACTATTATTGATATTGATAATCATATAATTAGCTCTGATAGTTATACTAAATTTTACAAACTAGTTAGAAAGTCTAGCTATAGAACAGCAAATGCTTTCTAAAGGTCTTTTGTTTTTGACTTTGAATTATAAATATAATACAATTGTATTTCATATAGTTATGAGTTTCATTATATTTCATTATAATCAATATAATAATATTCAAATTAATATTAACCTTTAGTTATATTCTAAGCTTACCAAAAAATAATGTAAAAGATTTATTATATTTAACTTTAGATATGAAAAACAAAATTCATAAAGAACTTAATAAATATCTTACAATACTATTAGAAAAATTTTATATTGAAAAGAGTTAAGATATAAATATAATTAATAAGTTAATATATCAGCAAAGCAAACTAGGACATATGAAAAAATACTTTGTTTATCAAATCTCTAATATTAATAATAAAAAACAAAATTATCCTATATACAATACTAGGTTACTATTAATAGTTAAAATAATTTAATATCCTAATAAATCACTTAATATTCCAAATGCTAATGAAAAACATTAATCATCTTTTTTTATATTTTTAAATTAACTAATCAAAACTTTACTATAAATTTTTACTTTATACAACAATCAAATTTAAAATATTAAAGTCAATATATTACAAATATTTGTTCTCAATTTAATAAATATTAATCTGAATTTAATTATCAATATTCAGAAGATTCTTGAATATATTGAAAAGATATCTAGTATTAAATAAGATAATTGTAAGTAGATTATAGTTGTTTATAATAGGTACCTTATCATTATATACAAAAAATCAAAAAAGACTTCCCTTAGCTTATATTAGTTTTGAATGCTTTTATGAAAAAATGAATATATTAAAGGCATTTGTTGAATTGAATTGAAATATTGATATAAAATATTTTGCTAAATGTTAAGGATATTAGACTAAAACTAACTTCATTTTTAAAAAATACACAGATCATCATAAATTCTGGGATTCAATATATAATATATATAGGTATACAATAACTTTTAAATTAATGTGACTATATATTATTTTCAAAAAATTCACTTCTATTGATGGTTATCTTACATAAACTTAAAATTAAACTAATTCTAGATTTTAACTAAAATATATGAGGATTTCTAGAAAAATCAGATTCTGAGAAATTTTTGACTAAAATTAAGAGTTTAATGCATTTTAATCTAATAATATCAAAAACTAAAATACAATAAAATCTCAATTTCATTAAAAAATTCCTAGAATCTGATTTTTCTCACAATCAACTTATATAAACAAGTCTTTTATTATTTACAAGTAATTATTAATTTTTGTATTTATATTTATATGAATAGGTCTTTATTAAAAGCTGCAGCTAGATAGATGTTTATACTTATTTGGTCTACTAAATAACATCTGATTTACCGATTAATTAAAATTATAAATAAAGAATAAATGTTATGATTAAAACCTGAAATTTGTAATCTAATTCAAGAAAAAATTATAATATCACAATTTGAACTTTCAAATTAATACTAAAGTCTTAATATAGTACTTAAAGAAGTTAATAAAACACTTAAATTATTGATCTCATCTATATTTTATAACAATATAGAGAAATTGTAATACGTAATTGTATCAAATTTATGAAATATGTACTAATTTACTTAATATAATAGGGTATTCTAAAAGTAAAATTCATAGGCTTTATATGTATTCTGATTTTGTAGTTTAATTATACTGATTTTAAGAAAAACTCAATTTGTCGATTCTAATAGTATTAATAATTAAAAATTTTCAAGATATTACTAGTCAATGTATATTAAATAAAGAATTAAAAATTTAGTAAAATGTTATATATAAAAAAACTGAATTTATTAAAGTAGTATTAATTGACAAGTATCTATTAAAAATTTAACATCTAATTCCTATAATATGTAAAAAAGCAGATTTTTAACAATCTGAAACTTTCTTAATAAAAGCTCAAATTTTAATAATCATTAATTCTTTAATTTTATTTTTAGATAATTTAGAATGATTATACTTTTAAGTAAATCTTATGATAATTTATTAAATATTCTTCAAAAAAAATTAGAAATTTTCTGGCTAAAAATAACATTAACACTTATGAAGAAGAAATTGAAAATTAAAATTTTATTTTATTATTTTTATATATGATTTTTAGTTTTAAATAAAGTTTTAATAAATAATAAAGTCTGATTATAATTTTGGCTAAATATATATATATAATTTTTGTCATATTTAAAAATATATTAGAATGATAATTTTGATAAAATCTTAGACTGAATTGTAAAGTAAGTATTACATAAAGAAGTCATGTTAATTCGTTTATTAATTTTTAACCTAAATTATATTTAATCTATTATCTGTTATTATTATAAAACCTTATCAGTTAGATTTTAATTGAAGATAATTTCATAAAATTTACAAATAGAATCGTTAGTATATAGATAAGGTATATATTTAATTGTTAAAATTATTTCACAAAATCTAAATGCATTATTAATAAAAAAGCATGTAATTTTAATATAACTAAATCTACTTCTAGTTATCTAAAGGTTTATTATTATAGAACAGAAAAAAATGTTTTATTGAATCTTTTTATTAAAATAGTTTTAATTTAATTATATGATTTAACTAATAATTATTAAATTATTTTATCATTTGGTAAATAATAATTCAAATTAAATTCACAAATAAATTCAATAAAGCCTTTATTATAGCATATATTAATTATTCAATTATTTTTACCTAAAATTTTTGGTTTTAATTATTTTTAATACTTAGATAATTTTATATTATTTCGTTTATATAAGCTGACTATTATTTTGTATTTTATTCATTTTTCTTTTATAACTTTCTTTGATAATTTAATATGTTACAAGATGAATAATAAAATTGCTAGTAGAATTATCAAAACCTATAAAATGACTATATAGTTTTGCATCATTTTTTTAAACTTGAACTAAATACTTTATTACCCTTTTGTATTTTTTAATCAGTTTATACTGCTAAAATATATCCTCATATTTAACTTTGTTTTGATAGTTTTATATTTAAATTTAATATTAACTAATCAGTTATTTTATTTAAATCAATTTTTACTATTTTATATTTTTATTTTTTTTAGTTTTTTACTGATTATTTGTATTAGAATCTGATTTTAACTTAATAATTGTAAATTTAATCTTTATTATTTATTTATTGAATCACTTATTTCAGAAACTGAGGTATTTATAACTGGTTAAGTTATTACTAGAAATTTATATACAATTAATTGATAAAAAAGTATAATTTATTTTATATTCAAGCATTTTATATTATATATATTTATATAATTTTTATACTAGAAAATGATTTTAGAAATTATTATTAAGTCTAAAATAATATTAACTAAAAAAATATTATAAAAGCTAATCAGCATTGACTTAATTATTAAGCAGGCAAATAACAGGATAAGTGGGATACCACGCTTTAATCTGAATACATAATCTGGTTATCACTCTTTAATCTACCCTTTTTATTTTGATGTTACCTCTGTTTGCATTCTAGTTATATATTTATACCTTTCTTGGTATTTGCATTTTTCTCATAT